ACTGGATGGTTTGAAATGGGATCGATAAAAGATCGATAAAGAAATCGACCGGGATCCCAGGAACCCAAAACCCACCGACATCGGCCCAGAACAAATGACCAAGATCTCGGAAACCCGGAACCGGGAACCCGGGAACCCAGCTGGCTACCAAAATCGGCGGGAAACTTTCGCCAAATCTTTGAATTTTCGGTAGGGCCCCTTCAGTGCAAGCACTGATTGGGGAATCAGTTTTTTCCCCCAGAGCTCGTTTACTTCGTGCCAGCATGGGGCGAAACCTACTGCATCTTACCATTGCGCGCTGACGCAACACATGGCGCCACAACGAGGGCAATGAGGAGAGCATAACGTGCGGCAGCCATGCAGAGGAGACGAGAGTGCCTCACACCCGTGAAGGGCAGGATTATCAGCTACACACCCGTGGCATGCCCTCCCCAAGCTCCTCCTCCTCCTCCACCTCCTCCTCCTCCTCCCAGAAGGGACCTCTGTGGTGACTCGCTGTGGTGGTCTGGTAGTCTGGTGGTCTGGTGGTATGATGGTCAGGTGATCAGGTGGTCAGGTGGTCTGGTGGTCAGTTGGTGTGGTGGTCTTTGTGGTATGTTGGTCAGGTGGTCGGGTGGTCAGGTGGTCAGGTGGTCAGGTGGTTAGGTGGTCAGGTGGTCTGGTGGTATGCTGGTCTGGGGGATGATCAGGTGGTCAGGTGATCAGGTGGTCAGGTGGTCTGGTGGTCTGGTGGTATGTTGGTCAGGTGGTCGGGTGGTCAGGTGGTCAGGTGGTCAGGTGGTTAGGTGGTCAGGTGGTCTGGTGGTCTGGTGGTATGCTGGTCTGGGGGATGATCAGGTGGTCAGGTGATCAGGTGGTCAGGTGGTCAGGTGGTCAGGTGGTCTGGTGGTATGTTGGTCTGGTGGTCGGGTGGTCAGGTGGTCAGGTGGTCAGGTGGTTAGGTGGTCTGGTGGTCTGGTGGTATGCTGGTCTGGGGGACTGGTGGTCAGGTGGTGTGGCGGTGACTGGTGGTCTGGTGGTCTGGTGGTCTGGTGGTATGCTGGTCTGGTCGTGGTCATGGTATGCTGGTCTGGTCCTGGTCAGGTCGTCGGGTGGTCTGGTGGTCTGGTGGTATGCTGGTCTGGTGGTCTGGTGGTCTAGTGGTCGGGTGGTCAGCTGGTCTGGTGGTCTGGTGGTCTGGTAGTCTGGTGGGTCAGGTGGTCTGGTGGTCTGGTGGCTTGGTGGTATCGTGATCTCGTGGTCTTGTGGTCAGGTGGTCTGGTGGTCAGGTGGTCTGGTGGTCTGGTGCTCTGGTGGTCTGGTGCTTCTCAGTGGTGCTAGACGCGCTCCACTGTTAGACAAGCCCCCCTGTTAGACAAGCCTCCCCTATTAGACAGGCTCCCTCGCCAAGCTGATGCAAAACAACATCAGTGGTGCTGGACGCGCTCCTTTTGCTAGGCCTGCGCCCTCTGTTAGACAGGCTCCCTCGCCAAGCTGATTAAAACATCTCAGTGGTGCTAGACAAGCCCCCCCCTATTAGACAGGCTCCCTCGCCAAGCTGATTTAAAACAACCTCAGTGGTGCTAGACGCGCTCCTTTTGCTAGGCCTGCGCCCTCTGTTAGACAGGCTCCCTCGCCAAGCTGAGTAAAACATCTCAGTGGTGCTAGACGCGCTCCTCTGTTAGACAGGCTCCCTCGCCAAGCTGATTAAAACAACATCCGTGGTGCTAGACGCGCTCCTCTGTTAAACCGGCCCCCTCTGTCAGACAGGCTCCCTCGCCAAGCTGATTTAAACAAAAAACATCCGTGGTGCTAGACGAGCTCCTTTGTTACACAGCTCCTCTGTTAGACCTGCGCCCTCTGTTAGACAGGCTCCCTCGCTAGGCTGATAAAAAAAACATCCGTGGTGCTAGACGCGCTCCTCTGTTAGACGCGCTCCTCTGTTAGACAGGCTCCCTCGCCAGGCTGATTAGAAAAAAACATCCGCGGTGCAAGACGCGCTCCTCTGTTAGACGCGCTCCTCTGTTAGACAGGCTCCCTCGCCAGGCTGATTAAAAAAACATCCGTGGTGCTAGACGCGCTCCTCTGTTAGACGCGATCCTCTTTTAGACAGGCTCCCTCGCCAGGCTGATTAAAAAAAAAAACATCCGTGGTGCTAGACGCGCTCCTCTGTTAGACGCGCTCCTCTGTTAGACAGGCTCCCTCGCCAGGCTGATTAAAAAAACATCCGTGGTGCTAAACGCGCTCCTCTGTTAGACGCGCTCCTCTGTTAGACAAGCTCCCTCGCCAGGCTGATTAAAAAAACATCCGTGGTGCTAGACGCGCTACTTTGGTAAACCGGCCCCCTCTGCTGGACAGGCTCCCTCGCCAGGCTGATTAAAAAAACCTCAGTGGTGCTAGACGAGCTCCTTTGTTACACAGCTCCTCTGTTAGACCTGCGCCCTCTGTTAGACAGGCTCCCTCGCCAGGCTGATTAAAAAAAAACTCGGTGGTGCTAGACGCGCTCCTCTGTTAGACCTGCGCCCTCTGTTAGACAGGCTCCCTCGCCAAGCTGATTAAAAAAAACATCCGTGGTGCTAGACGCGCTCCTCTGTTAGACGCGCTCCTCTGTTAGACAGGCTCCCTCGCCAAACTGATTAAAAAGCACATCCGTGGTGCTAGACGCGCTCCTCTGTTAGACGCGCTCCTCTGTTAGACAGGCTCCCTCGCCAGGCTGATTACAAAAAAAACATCCGCGGTGCTAGACGCGCTCCTCTGTTAGACGCGCTCCTCTGTTAGACAGGCTCCCTCGCCAGGCTGATTAAAAAAACATCCGTGGTGCTAGACGCGCTCCTCTGTTAGACGCGCTCCTCTGTTAGACAGGCTCCCTCGCCAGGCTGGGTTTTTTTTTGTAAAAAAAAAATCCCTGGTGCTAGACGCGCTCCTCTGTTAAACCGGCCCCCTCTGCTGGACAGGCTCCCTCGCCAAGCTGATTTTAAAAAACCTCAGTGGTGCTAGACGAGCTCCTTTGTTACACAGCTCCTCTGTTAGACCTGCGCCCTCTGTTAGACAGGCTCCCTCGCCAGGCTGATTAAAAAACTCGGTGGTGGTAGACGCGCTCCTCTGTTAGAACTGCGCCCTCTGTTAGACAGGCTCCCTCGCCAAGCGTTTTTTTTTTTTTTTTTTTTTTTTTTTTTTTTTTTTTTTTTTTTTTTTTTTTTTTTTTTTTTTTTTTTTTTTTTTTTTTTTTTTAAAAAAAAAAAAAAAAAAAAAAAAAAAAAAGCAAAAAAAAAAAAAACATCCGTGGTGCTAGGCGGCTAGGCGCGCTCCTCTGTTAGACGCGCTCCTCTGTTAGACAGGCTCCCTCGCCAGGCTGATTCAAAAAAAAACATCCGCGGTGCTAGACGCGCTCCTCTGTTAGGCGCGCTCCTCTGTTAGACAGGCTCCCTCGTCAGGTTTTTTTTTTTTTTTTTTTTTTTTTTTTTTTTTTTTTTTTTTTTTTTTTTTTTTTTTTTTTTTATTATATATATATATATATATATATATATATATATTATATATATATATATATAACATCCGTGATGCTAGACGCGCTCCTCTGTTAGACGCGCTCTTCTGTTAGACAGGCTCCCTCGCCAGGCTGATTAAACAACACATCCGTGGTGCTAGACGCGCCCCTCTGTTAGACGCGCTCCTCTGTTAGACAGGCTCCCTCGCCAGGCTGATTTTTTTTGTAAAAAAAAAAAAAAAACATCCGTGGTGCTAGACGCGCTCCTCTGTTAGGCGCGTTCCTCTTTTAGACAGGCTCCCTCGCCAGGTTTTTTTTTTTTTTTTTTTTTTTTTTTTTTTTTTTTTTTTTTTTTTTTTTTTTTTTTTTTTTTTTTTTTTAAAAAAAAAAAAAAAAAAAAAAAAACATCCGTGGCGCTAGACGCGCTCCTCCCATCCCGTGGAGAACGTGGTCGCCTCCAACGGCCCTGGTCAGCCCTCCGCGGGCCCCCTCGGACAGCCGCGCGTTCGGGCCTGTAAACGTCGTTTTTTTCTACCAGGCTCGTTGGTGCGATTCCGGGAATTGCACCAACGAGCCTGGTAGAAAAAATACCAAAAAAACGACGGCAGGGAGAAGGCAAGGGAGGGGGGGGGCGGAGGGCCCCAAGACGGCCCAAGAAGGCCCCAAGACGGCGCAAGAGACTGCCAAAACAGCCCAAGACGGCCCCAGGGCGGCAAACGAGGCTTCAAGACGGTCCAAGAGGCCCCAAAGACGGCTCCAAGAGGGGGCCCGGGACGGGGGACCCGACCAGGCGTTTCGAATCCTCGGCCCCGCGAACCCACAGGAGGCCCCAGGTTGCTTCCAAGACGCATCCATGAAGCCCCGAGAAACTCCCAAGAGGCCCTCGGGACGCCCCAAGACGCCCCCAAGAGCTTGGGGGCCTCGCGACGACGAGCTGTTTCTCGGATGGACGCGCTCGGCCAGCTCAGCACTCTCAACATCCGTGCGTCGCCGCGAACACAACCTACACACGCAAACGTGCATTCGCTGGCGGAGGGTGGAGGGGGAGGGACGGGGGGGAAATGGCGATAACGATTGCGAACGTGAAGGGCAGGGAGGGATAGGGAAGGAGAAGGAGGATGGGGGATGAGGGAGAAGGAAGAGGGAGAGGAAGACGAGGAAGAGGACTCTGAGAAGAGCTGGCCAGCGGAAGCGGTGGGCTACCGACCAGACCCCGCGGGCCGGTGAATTATTCAGATCCGACCCAAATGCATCGTCACAGGGGCTTCGGACAGCTCAGAAGGAAACCAACCTAAAACTTTGAGCGCTCAAATAGCTGTCGAGACATTTGGGTCGGATCTTCAGCTAGTAGCACTAAGTGCTGGGCGTGGCGGCGCCGCAATCAATCGACCCCGAGCAGCGGCCCCCGCGCGCCTAGACGCGCCGTCCACCCCAGACGGCGTCGAGTCACAACAGTCCTAATCCTGACTGCTCGCGACGGCAGTCCGCTTGCCCAAAATGCGCCTCCGCTTGGGCGACTGGCTTGCTTCTCCACCGGGGCTCGCGCTGCCCGCCTCCTCCGCGGCCTGCTCCTCGGCGGCGAGCTCTGCGCCCTGCTCCTGCCGCGGCAAGACCGCGGTCTGCTCCTCGGCGATGAGGTGCGCGTTCTTCTCATGCCGCGGCAAGGCCCTCGCATAGTACTGGATGCCCTTCTCGGCTGGCGGGTCGTCAAAGCCCAGGAACCCGTTCGCATCCTGCTGTGCGGCGTCCCACTCCGCCTCGGCGTCGCGCTGGCCCTCCAGCTCTTTCGCGGCGAGACCCGCCTCCATCTCCTTCAGCGCCTCCTCCTCGTCCGCGAGCGCCGCGATGACCTGCTCCTCCCCCATGCCCTCGGCGACGGCGCCGCCGCCGAGCACTTCGGCCAGGCCCGCCTCCACTGCCCTCGATATCTCCTCCGACTCCGCGACCCCGGCCAGGAAGTAGTGGACGACGTCGGAGGCCGCGTCGCAGCTGACACCGAACTCGCGGCGCATGTCCTCGAACACGTCTGGTAGCAACCCGCGGTAGTGCTGGATGGCCTGGTGGGCAAAGCGCGCGAGCTCGGACTTCTTCTCTGGCGCCAGGAGCGCCCACCAGCCAGGCGCGCCGTCGGAGTTGGCGGGCAACGAGCCATCCCACGGCTGCCACGCGGCCTCAGGGGCGCGGCGCACCGACGAAGCACCCGCGTCGCCGCGGGGCCGCTCGCGCAGCAGGTTTGCGAAGAGCTCCCTCTCTGCGGCCTTGGCCTGCTTGAAACCGTCGGGGTAGTTCCGAACGCCACGCTTCCAGTCTCCGTAGGCCCACATGTTCGCACCCTGGAACCAATCTCCCCGACTCCGCCCTCCACCACTACGAGGATTGGGGCATCTTTCGATGCCGAAGGGAGGCGCAGGTAAATGGCTCTGTATCCAGCGATTATGACGACGGACCTCTTGAGGACAGCGAGCAGGTCCTCCTGGGGGACATCGGAGAAGGACGGCCGAATCATGGCGTAGAAGGTCCCCCACTTGATGAAGACGCCGTGCTGCGGGTTCGAAGGCTCGGCCGCGCTGTCCCACGTGTTATCGCAGATGGCGCGGAAGCAGTTCTTCGCGAAGGACGCGGGCGAGTAGCGACAGTCAACGTGCCTCTTGAACCCCGCGTCCATGAATTGTTTCACGTCGTCGCACCTAAACTTGGGCACGTTCCCGTCGTCGATGACGACCCCGTTGTGGACGAGGGAGTCGACGCCCTTGAAGTCGTCGAACTGTTTCCCCCGGTACCACCCTGGTGTCACGCCCTCGACGCCCGCCTGGTCAAGCCAATACTGGCCCAAGCCAGGGGCCATGATGAAGGCGAACGGGGTCTTCCCAGCCCCTGGGCGGCCGACTGCCAGCAGGCCGTGATCTGGCAGGTACGGGGCGATCGCGGAGACTACGTCGCGGAAGACGCTGTCTTTCAGGTCGCTCGCTGTCAGGGGGAAGTCCTGCTCCAGCTCCGCCGTCATCTTGCTCTTCGCCTTGATCTCGCAAATCTTGTTCACGTATGCCGCTGGCCACCCGCGGATGGGGGGGTCCTTCGCTTTGTTGTTGATCAGCAGCCACTCCACCTGCGCCATCGTCCCCATCGGCGGCGAGTGGACCTTGATGAACTCAATCCCTCTCGTGATCTCCTCAGTCGACGGCGACCACTCGCCCCCCGATGAGGCGACTTCCGCTTGCCATGGTTCGCGCCCGCGTCCTCGTCCACAGTCTTCGCGAACAAGAGCCTCCACCCCCTCGCTCGCTGTAGGATCGTCTGGAAGGCCTTCCGCGCCCCGTAGGCGTTCGCGCGCTTGGGCACGCGCAGCGCGTCTCCGACGCACAGGCCATGCGCGTGCGCCGCGCTGACGGGCTCCTTCAGGTTGAAGATCTTCAGCACCTCGTACGTGCCGTCCTCGTTCCTCTCCATCACCAGCTGCACGGTGTCTGCCTCCGCGAGCGGCTGGCCAGGCAGCACCCCGCTCGGAACTGAGTCGGGGGGCGCCGCCTGCACGCCGCCCTTCGCGGCGTCCCCGAGCGCCTCCAGGGAGAAGCCCTCTGGCGCCACCCACTCGGACATGTAGTCAACGACGACCTTCCAGGTCTTCTGGTTCTTGTACCTGTTATCGCGCGGCAGCGTGTCCAGGAAAACCTTGATGCTGGAGATGTCGATGCCGTCCTCGGACGCGGGCGTGATGTCGGCGCGCTGGTGCGTCTCGTAGGCGGACGAGGAGTTCGACGCGATCAGCTCGTCAAAGAGAGTCTCCACTGGTTGAGCCATGGCGCCCCGCGCAATCGCCGATGTCCCGCGCGAGCGCCAAGAGGCGACGTCGCAGGGAGATGCTTGAGCCGAACGACCTGCGGTGCACCCTCCTGCGAGACGCGGGGGGAAGCCCCTGAAGGGGCATCTCGGCCCGACGATGCAAGGGGGCCCGAATGCGCCGCGAGCGCCGGAGTGCAGGCGCGGCGGCCGGCGGGGGCCGAAAGCAATGTTTTCTCGCCCGTCGCAGCCACCCCGCGCTCACTCAAGATCAACGCCCGCCCCTGGGCGCCCGATCGCTAGATAGCAGTGCGTGGATCGCGGCTGGTCTACATCGGGGGGCGCGCCCGACTCCCCCGCGCGCCCGCGCGCGGTCCGCGAAGCGCTAGCACGCAGCCCCCTGGCAGCGTGAAGGCGCTCAGTCCTGCGAGGCGCGCCTGCCTGGCTTGTGGAACCTGGGCTTCGCTAAGATGAGCATGCCGGCCTCCGGGTGGTCGTTGAAGAACTGCATGAACTCGGTCACCCAGAACCGGTGGCTGGCTGGACGCATGGAGTTGACGAAGAAGTTCACCACGCGGATCCAGGCGTTGAAGGACTCGGAGGCACTGGTTGGAATGCCCTTGCAGCGGATCTTCTCGCGGTGCGTCCACACGCACTTGCTGCAAACGTGGTTCTTCCGATGGAATTTGTCGATGACCCAGTATTTCACGGCGGCGAAAGCTTCTGGCGCGTGGATCAGCGCGGACCTCTCGAAGTGGCACATGTCGTCGTGGATCAGGAGGTCGGCGTTCACCCCCTCCATGCCCATGACCGCCTTCAGCAACGTGATCTTGTCGGTCGTGCACTCGTTCTCCTTGTGCTCCATGGCTCCGAGCACCTGCATGGTCGATGGGTCGAGGGCGAACTGCCACCCGCCTGTGCGGCCGGGCAGCGTCCGCCTGATCTTGTCCTTCGAAGCGCACGTGGCCGTCCTGTCCTCGTCCTTGTAGTACAGTTGCTTCTTCTTGGACTTCGCCTTGACCACGCTCTTCGCGGCCTTCGACCTCGACCTCTTGCCGCTCGGTTTCTTCGCGGTCCTCTTCCTGATCTTCCCGAGGGCGCGGCGCGGGCCGTCAACGTGGGGGTCCAAGGCGCGGCTCAGCCCGAACAGCCCGTCAAAGCATATCGACTTGCACTCGGTGGCTGGGGGGAACAGCACGGGGCTCCTGTCCTTGGTGAAGACGCCGGCCGGGAAGTTGACGTCGAACTGCACCACGTCATCAGGCGTTCGCCTCGCCAGGGCGAAGCCTTCCAGCGCATGGAAGAGGTTATCCCTGAGATTGTGCATGCTCTTTGACGCTACATCGCCTCCTTCATATATCTGAAGGGCGTCCACCTCCTGCCCAGGCACCAAGCGGCCACGCATCAGTCGCAGGTATTGGAGCTCCAGGTAGGTCATCGTGAACCCGAGCTTGTTGGTCACAAAGTAGACCCCCTGCATCTTCATCTGGTTGAAGGTGAGGGTGTCCACTTTCTTGGGCCACGCGAAGTTCGTGCGGTGCACGATCCTGCACCCGCGCCGCCCGCACTGTACCTGGGTGGTGCTCACCTCGCTCATGTGCTCTGGCCCGACAATCGACGCAGCCACACCCTTCTGCCCGCGGTATCTGAAGGTCTTTGCTGCGCAATGCAGGCACTTTTTGATGGGCGTGTGAATCGATTTAACCATGGTGGTTCGGCGGGGTCGGTTGTAGCAGCAGGTGGCTGGGTAGCCTTGAGCCTAAAGCAAAGGAGGACGAGGAGGACGAGGAGGAGGCAATGACAACTGGCCTGAATATGAGAGACATGGGGGGGAGGAGGAGGAGGAGAAGGAGGGATTATACTGATAACTGGTCTGAATATGACTGTATATTATGAGCCTTCCCCTCCCACCGTTGGAATGCACATATCATTAAAAACCCATTACATCACAAACACTTTGGCTGGAAGCAGCCCCGCGCGCTCGAACTCTCTATCCGGTTCTACGCATAACACAGCACAGCACACGTGAAAAATCAAAACTGAACATCTCAGGGAGACCCATTGGGAAGGGCAGAAGGCGGGGAATCGGATGGAAAGAGCGGAGGAGGAGAGGGGAGTTGGGACGGAGGAGGGGAATGAGGGAGGAGGCAAGAGGGAGGGGGGGGATAGGAGAGCGGATGGGAGAACAGACAGGAAGGAAAGGATGCCAAGGGATGACGAGGGAGGATGAGAGGGGAACATGAAAGAGGAGGAGGAGGAGGAGGAAGAGGAGGAGGAGGAGGAGGATGGGGGAGGAGGGGGAGGCGGAGGAGGGGGAAAGGAGGAAGAGGCGGATGAGGAGGAAGAAGAGGAAGCGGGGGAGAGACGAAGCAACTCTTCGCCCATCCCGTGGAGAACGTGGTCGCCTCCAACGGCCCTGGTCAGCCCTCCGCGGGCCCCCTCGGACAGCCGCGCGTTCGGGCCTGTAAACGTAGTTTTTTCTACCAGGCTCGTTGGTGCGATTCCGGGAATTGCACCAACGAGCCCGGTAGAAAAAGTACCCCAAAAAACGACGGCCGCGAGAGGGAGGAGGGCCCCAAGACGGCCCAAGAAGGCCCCAAAACGGCACAAGAGACTGCCAAAACAGCCCAAGACGGCCCCAGGGCGGCACGCGAGGCTTCAAGACGGTCCAAGAGGCCCCAAAGACGGCTCCAAGAGGGGGCCCAGGACCGGGGACCCGACCAGGCGTTTCGAATCCTCGGCCCCGCGAGATCACAGGAGGCCCCAGGTTGCCTCCAAGACGCATCCATGGAGCCCCGAGAAGCTCCCAAGAGGCCCTCGGGACGCCCCAAGACGCCCCCAAGAGCTTTCCAATATGCCCCCAAGAGGCTTCCATTTGGTATCAGAACTTCTCTCCAGAGGCACCCGAGAGCGCTCCGAAGAGATCCCAAGAAGCGCCCCTGGGAACTATGACCCACAACCCAGGCATGGCGGCGGGATGGGCCGAAGGCCATCAAATTCAAAAAAACGCAAGCATCGATGAGGGAGGAGGGTAGGGGGAGAGAGGCGGGGCATGGCGTGGGCGGCCGCCGGCGCGGGCCACGCGAGCACGGCGCGCTCTTTTTCGCACGCACCTCGAAGAGAGAGAGCGGAGGGCGTTGAACCTGTATGGATGGACGGCGCCAACAAGCAGGCAAGCTCATGGAGACGCATTATCCTCCTCCTCCCCCGTCCTCCTCCTTTTCCTCCTCCTCCTCCCTCTCCTCCTCCGCCTCGTCCATCTCCTTCTCTCCCACCTGATTTATTCCCTCTTCTCCTCCTCTATCCTCCTCCCGACGCTACCTCGATGCCCCGTGATCTCACTGGTCGCGCTTCCGCTTCGCTGTCACACGGCGCTTCAGCTTCTCAGTGACCCTGCAGGCGCCCCGGTCCGGAGCATACTCGATATTTGCCAATTGATTCAGGATTTGTCGAAACTCACAGAGGAGATCTCCCAGAATTTCGGGTAACCCCGCGAGCGCGAGCTCGTGGCCGACGCTGCTCTCACGCCGCAGAGGGGCCGGAATATCGAGCAGGAGACCCTCGTCCACGAGCTTGCGCGCCGTCTTGGCCAGCTTCGGCCACTCCAACACCAGCAATTGCCCTGCGTCCTCGTCGGAGAACTTCTTCGGTGCAAAGCGCAAGGAGGCAGTCGCCAAGAGCTTGACGCCGAAACGGGCTCCACTCCCGCATGCGGCATACTTCATGACGTCGGTGACGCCGTGCTTACGGAGCTCCGAAGACTGAAAGCCCATGGATCCACCACCGCGGCGCAGAGTAAGTTGTAGCCAGGAGGGAAGGTGGAGGTGGGCGACGACGACGACGACGGCGGCGGCGGCGACGACGACGACGAGGGGGAGATGCGCCGCAGGCCCTCTGATAGAATACCAATGGCGTGCTGAGTACCGAAATGCTTTATATTCGGAAGCTCGAGGAAACCTTCAATGAGCTGTGATTTAGGCCCCCTGAGTTGGCATGAGCTGCGTGAGTATCCGGGTTCCGCGCCAGTGCGGTCAAGCACTGCCGTCTTGATGAAGCGGCGGTTCCATACCTGCTTCGTGGCCTGGCGCAGGCCCTTGCAGATGTCGGCCCGCCGCGCGCACCTGTCGGCCAGCTTGGCCTCGCAAAATGCATCAGAGTGGAGCACCAGCGCAGCGGCCCATTCCATCTTGGCCTTCCCAGTAACATCAGCGGCATGCATTCTTCGCATCACGGCATGGCGTTGGGAGAAGGAGCCGCTCTTCGCCAGCCATTGTTCTGGGAGTGCGTAGCAATACCGGACCCGATTGATCAAGTTCAGGAGGCTCAGATCCATCGCCTCCAGGTCTGGAGCGCCCTCGTCGTCGGGCTCCTACCAGGCAGTGCCAAGGGGAGTTACCACCAAGGGGGGTCGTCAACCAACCGAACGCCCAAATACATCAAACAAACGATTCAATTTGCCGTTCCGAATGGAGGCGACAGTCGCCGTGGCGGTGATTCCCCTTGGCTGCGCCCAGTCCTGCACCCCGAGGAGCTGCCACGAAACGAAACCGATAGATTCGCCGCAGCAGGCGTCATCTCCAACGTGAGCCTGGCTGCCAACAAGAGAACGAGGATACGCCGGAGCGGCTCCGCATCCATCGCCTCCAGGTCTGGAGCGTCCTCGTCGTCGGGCTCCTACCAGGCAGTGCCAAGGGGAGTTACCACCAAGGGGGGTCGTCAACCAACCGAACGCCCAAATACATCAAACAAACGATTCAATTTGCCGTTCCGAATGGAGGCGACAGTCGCCGTGGCGGTGATTCCCCTTGGCTGCGCCCAGTCCTGCACCCCGAGGAGCTGCCACGAAACGAAACCGATAGATTCGCCGCAGCAGGCGTCATCTCCAACGTGAGCCTGGCTGCCAACAAGAGAACGAGGATGCGCCGGAGCGGCTCCGCATCCCAGCCACGCGGGCCTCTATGCAAGCGCAGAGATAGCACCTTGAACGCCATCTTGCACAATATGCAAGGTACAATGTGAGGCGGAGAGTCATACATATCAACCGCTTGCGGAACAGATCTTCCTGGACTTTGGCAGGCGGTGGACATTGATACATATGCTCGGACCCCCCAGGGCCCGAATGTATCTATCTACTGGCCTTCGGCCCATCCCGCCACCGTGCCTGGGCTGTGGGTCAGAGGTCTCTTGAGTGTTCGCTGGGATCTCGTGGTCGGTCTCTCGGCGGCCTCTTGGAAGCAGCTTTGAAGCGTCTTAAGGCCGTTTTGGAGCCTCTTGGGGCCTTTTTTGGGCCTCTTTTGGAGCTCTTGGGGGCCGCTTTTGGGGCGGATATCCGAAGCCTCCAGAGGTCCAGGAGTATCGCTCCCACATGTGGTATATGTATGATTCCTCGCCTCGCGGACAAGGTTGTGGCAGGGATAGGGCGCGAACGCGACCAGAGCCAAAACGGCTCCACGTCAACGGAAGCTATGGCGCATGCAATGGGATACTCAGCGCAGAGAAGGATACGAGCAGCAGCAGCATCTGCAAGAGAAGCACGAGGAACAATCGGAGGAGGAAAGGGAAGAGGAGGAGGACGAGGGAGATGATGAGGACGAGGAGGAGGATGATGAGGAGGAGAAGGTTGGAGGAGGAGGAGGAGGGGGAGGAGGAGAAAGATGATGTGCAGAAGGGGAGGCGCAGGCGCGATAAACGCTGCAGCAGCAGCTGCGATCAAAGGGCGAAGGAGCAATGAGAAGGGGCGGAGAAGAAGGAGCGGCAAGATGACACCAGCAAAGTGAGTCACCACAGGAGTCCCCTCCCCCTCCTCCTCCTCCTCCTCCTCCTCTTCCTCCTCCTCCCCGTCCTTCCCCACCTTTGTTTCCCTTCGTTCCTCCCCGCCTACTTTTCCTCCCTCCCCCTTCCCCCCGTCTTGCTCCTATCCCCCATCCCTCTCATCCCCCTCCCCTTTCTACTCCTCACAAATGGCGGGTTTTGTGCAGCCGTGAACTCAAGAACTCCGCGAAATAATATGTCTGACCGGGTGAGCGCGGACAGCGGCACAGGCAGGTTAAAAGAGGGGATGGTCGCTTGGGCATTCAACGCCCGTCCTCGATCATCTGGCTACATGGAGTCAGAGAAGGATCGACCGATCATTGAACCGACGCCTGGAACCAAGTCGCACATAGTGGCGCGGAAGCGCCGCGGGAGGTGGGCGGAAGGCCAAAGCATGAAGACAATTAGCCATGCTGTGCGCTGTGCTCCACCCTAGCTGTGGTTCTGCTCTGTGCGTCGCGGGCTCGACGCTCATCTGCACGCCGGTGGCGGGCTATCTTCACTGCCTCCTTCGCGGAGGCTGCCTCGGCGGAGACCTTCACGCTCGCGCAGCCGTCCATCATCGCCTTCGTCAGGTAGCCTCGTTCAGCTTCTACCTTCGCCAACGCATCTGCTAGCTGAACCGATGTGTCGCTCCAGTCCAAGTCAACTCCATCTTCCGATCGCATCTCCCGTAGGACTGCGATGACCACTCGTGGTCGACGATCCGCAATCTGGACAGCGTCCGCGAGGAAGTGGGTCACCAAGCTGTTGGCATCGTCAAACCACTTGGCTGGGATCCGGGTCGCCGCGCCATCGACCGGGTCGCCTAATGGCTGATCTGGCTTCTGCATCTCGTATTAGGCTGCCCTGATCCAATCCAGCGCTTCAGCTCCTTCCGTTAGTCCGTGGGCCTCT